GCAGGAAAAAACACCAGGACCAAATTGTTTAGGAGATGGAGTTCCAGGTGCACTTCATGGAGCCACAGAAGGGGAAGGGTCTAGAACAGCTCTTTGTAGATCCAAAGGAGAGGATGATGAAATGGAGACAAACAGTGGCAGTTTAACACGTGTAGAAAGCATAAACCTTGAAAACTCTCCTCAAACTTGTACCTCTGTTCAGACAGGGACGAATTCCGTGATATCTGACAGCCAGAGTGTAGGATGTGATCTGGGGAAGGTGGCTGCACACTCGGATGAAAATGAACCAGAGGGGCTGCAGAACACTAAGGAGACTCCCAAAAGGAAGCTCCTGGAGGCCCCAGCTGATGCTGTGACTGACTCAGAGGCGCATGACAAGAGGAGAAGAACCTGTTCAGAAAGTCTGGAAGACCAAGGGGTGCAGATTAACAATTTCAACTTGCAAACACAGAGAGCCTTTGAGCAGGAGTTCTATGAAAGGCGTAGGCAGGAGGAACAGGACAGGCTCCTGGCTCTGCAGCTGCAAAAGGAGCTGGACAAGGAGGAAAGGACACTCAACCGGCAGAAGGGCTCTCCAGACGAGTATCTGCTTCGCACCAAACCACCTCAGTCTCTGAGGGACTCTGCTGCCAAAAAAGGAAGTTCCAAGGTGGCCAAAGACTCAAAGGGATCGAAAAAACAGGCTGAAACCAATCACTACAAGACTCGGAAAGGTTCCCGCAATGAAAACTGGCAGTCCCCTGCCAAGGTCCGGGTGAAATCCCCCAGCATCAAGGAGGGAAAGGTTTTGAATTGCGTGGTCAATACCAGTGACAAGAATGATATTTGCTCACTGCCTAAGAACAAGCAGAAGACGATCCTGCAGATGTTTAAAAGCCCTGTTGCAGAGTAGATCAGCAAAGCCACAGACACGTGGTGAACTGGGAATGCGAACTGTGGGGATGTTCTCCCGTGTTAGGCAAAGCTTCCTCAAGCAGTTCCAAGTTGTTGGTTTGGAGGAGGATCACTTTGGGCAGTGGTGGTGTGAGTCTGAGTTTTAGCACTGTACGCCCCCAGACTTGAACATTTCTTAATAGCTCTTCTCCTGAATGTTATTTCTAGCGCTTGCAGCAGTTCTTGCAGGACTCAGAGTGTTTCTTGTTTTGTAGTGCTTGGTTTTACATAGTTTGGTTGGTGAATACCAGTTCAGGTATGCAAGGATAACTTAAAATGAGAATCCAGAGCCTTTTACGGAAAGAATGCATGTTCTGTGGAGGAAGCAAGCAGAGAACCAGGCTGTATTCCCAGCTGGCTGCCAGCTGCAAGGTTCAACCCTCAGCACAACCACTGCTCTGTCACTTGAAGCATGTCACTGAAATTTTGGCTGCTTCTGGAATTGCAGCCCAGAACTATTCTGGAATTAACACAAGCGTAACCAGACAGCCACTCTTTCCCTCTCATGTGCTAACCCCTCCCTTGGACAAAGGAGGGAAGAAACAGGTCATTTTTCCACTGCCAAAGCCAAGGATCTTTCACAGATGCCAAGGCTATGGGCTCGTATTCACCTCTGTTCAGAGAGGTCCCTCCTGCAGATCCCATTTTCCTTGTTAAGAACAACATACTTTTGTTTTCTTATTGCTAATGTTCTGCAACTTTATTCTTCTATAATACTGTTGCCTGTATTTGGTACTGTTTAATTTTCATACTCAAACTGGTTTGAGTCTGATTAAAACCACATAATATTAAAAAAATATTATTTTATTTTAGCCAGTTATGATGGAGAAAGTTAAACCAAAAGGGGAAAAGCAACTGAAAACCGGAGTTGTCAGTAATGATGTAACTGTAATTAAAGATTCACATAACTGCCCTGTCTGGCTGTAACTGTTCCTCTCCATTCTTTGAGGCACTACCAATACTGTTCCAGTTGGGTTTAAAGCTAAAATAACTTAAATTGTAATTTAGACCTGGGGGTGCTGTGGCCTGTAGGAATTTGAGGCTGGTGAAGAGTTTACCAGGTCCTACTCCACAGAGGAAGTTTTCTTTCCAATTGTTTTATCTGGTTTTTTTTATTGTTTTATGAAGCCATATTTTGGCTTTTCTTTGCTTATTTGGAGATACTTGTGCACTGTTCATGTTGGAAGTGGAGCCAAGCACCATCTGTAATTGCTGGAGGCTGTTAGTCACCAAAGTCACCAATTGTTTGAGATTTGTCCGGTTTTTTTGAACCCCACTGATGATTTTAATTCTGTTTTGGGAAATTTGTAACAAAAAACTTCAAATGAGTATCTTCTGATGGTTTAGTTTTCAGAAAACCCCCAAATTTTACCGAAAGCATGACCGGCACACCGAGCCAAAAATCTGATTTGTTGGGTTTTGTGTTTCCCTCTGCCTGTATGTCTCTATCAATGGTGGGCTTCTCATAAATAAATGATCTGTTCTGAGATGTTTTTGGAGAAAGTTACAACAGATGACCCCCTGCAACTCCTTCACTTTTCCTCCTGCTGCCTCTGCCATTGTGCTGGAAGCCTTCCTTCAATATGGATCTGTTTCTCATTAATCCTTACCTGAGTTGAGGTTCTTTTCTGTCAACAGAAACAAATATATCCCTTCATTAATTCAAGTGTTCTTTAAGGCAGAGCTGCTGGCTATTTCCATGCTGGTGACCCTCAGCCTTTCCAGTCTGGATAAGCCTGTGAAAAATAAACTCCATTTTCAAAGCAGATGAGGAGAAAGAGTTTATTTGCTGCCCAAACCCTAAGTTTATGCCCAAGTACCAGCTTTGGCACTTGGGGACTCCCCACAGTTAAATTCCAGATGTTAAAGGAGTAGAGGAAGCATTAGGGGTGCAGAGGGGGAGGGAGAATTTCCGTTTCTGGCAGCACTATGCTTTGTACAAGTGGCTTGAAGCCACATCCCAGTACTTGGATTGCTGCATTTCATACCAGCCTCATTCCCTCTTCCTCCACAAGCTGTTCATGGATTCTTTCTTTTCCCTTTTAATGTGTGGTTATGCCTCTCTTCCATGAAAGACTTGTGACGTGCACTGAAGTAATCCCAGTAAGATGTTCAGTAAGGGTGGTGCTCCAAAGACTTCCTCACTAGCAACAGCAAATCCTGCTGCTGTGACTCCTTTGAAAATCACTACAAAAATTACAAAATTTGCCATTTCAAAGGTCTAAATAGCTCACAAGTGGGTTTTGGTATGTGTGTGTATGCTGGAGGGTGTGTTACAGGATTTGGGGGATATTTGTGTTTTTCCAGCTCGCTGAATTTTGTCCTTGGTGTCAGAACCGGCTCTTACATAAGAACTGTTATTTTTGCAAGCAGAATAAAAAAAAAAAGCAAGGGACTACACATTGATTGTTAGATAAACCCCATCCTTGAGTGCAAAATGTCCCAAACCTGTCACCTACAGCAGCAGCCCCATCCGAGGTTGGGGGACTACCAGCCCTCGGGTCCCCCAAACGATCCCATTCCTCACCACACACACGGCACAGTAATCCTCACTGGGCACAACTCGGCCTGTCCTTTTAGATCTTTATTGTGAGAGAGTGGATTTTGGTTGTACCAACAGCTGTGAGCCGGGAGCTCTGAAGCAGGTGAAATGAGCTTTGTTTTCCTGATGTTTGTGAAGCAGGACTGTGTGTTTGGGATGCTTGGGCTGGTTTAACGGTTCACTGCTGCTCAGAAGGGTGAGTTCACCTGCCTTCAGCTCTGGTGAGTCATCTCTCCTGTTTGTGAACCAAGTTCAGCTCATCCAACTGCCAGGAAAAACAAAACAAGCGCCAAAAAAAAAGGATACGTTACAGACTTGGTCGCTTTCCTGAAGGGATGGGAAGCAGGGAGGCCATAAGAGAGAGAGCAGATGTACCTCTTTTCATAGCAGTGAGGTATTAAAATATTAGAATTCTGAGGAAACCTCAGCTTTCTGTGGCGCTCACTGTAGCTGACAATGTTACTGCCCAGGTGCTCAGCAGCACTCCAGCCACGTTCCTGCTGTGCAGGGAAACTGCTGAAAGGAGTAAAACCCTCCTTTTCTGCCACTTCAGCAGGCGGCCTGGGCATCAGAAACACCCGGCGTGGTGGGTGGGGACAAACCCAGGGGTTTGAGTTTTAGGGGTTTCTTATCCCTGATTTATGGTAACGCCTCTTGTGCCATTGCTGGGCTTCCCTAGGCAGAGCCGGGGTCCATCCTCTGCCCCCTCCCTGCAGGCACTGACACACATGGAGGTCCCCTCTCAGTGTCTCCTCTGGAGGCTGAACAGCCCCAGCTCCCTCAGCCTTTCCTGCTCCCAGAGACGCTCCATCCTTCCAGCCTGCGATGGACCTGCTCCAGGAGTCCCGCGTCCCTCCTGTGCTGAGGAACCCAGAGCTAGATTCCAGATGTGCCTCACAGGGATAGACAGAGGGGCAGGATTCCTTCCCTCTCTGACCTGCTGCCAATGCTCTTCCTGATGCTCCCAGGATCCCATTGGCCTCTTGGCCTCCAGGACACACTGCTGGCTCAGGGACAGCTTGTCGTCCCCCAGGCCCTTCACCGCAGCGCTGCTCTCCAGCAAGTCCCCCCCCGCCTGTAGCGGTGCTCGGGGTTATTCCCGGTGTCTCCCCCCTCGCCGCACCTGGACCCGCCCCACATGCGGCCCGAGGCCTGCGCGGGGTAAACCCTTTGTGACGGGGTAAATCAGCGGACGACTGCCCGGCTTCGTGTGCCGAGGGTGCCGCTCCGGCCCGTGCCCGTCGCGCCCCGCCGTTGGAAGTGGCGGGCCGGGAATGCCGGGGGGATCTTCCGGGAAAGCCGCTGGATCGACGGCGGGGAAGGGGGGGCGTTGCCACGGCAACTCCCGCCCCGCGAGCGGCCGAGGGGGAGGGACTTGTCCCCATGGCAACCTCGGCCGCGCCCCCTCTGCCCCCCTTCCCTTCCTCCCGGGGCGGCGCGGGCCAGGGAGGGAAGGGTCGCGCGGGCGGGCGGGCCTTGCGCATGCGCAGCGCGCGCCGGCCGGCGGCGCGTGTGTTGTGTTGCGGCGGCGGCGGCGCAAGATGGCGGCGCCCGGGGGCTCGGCGGGCGCCGCGGCGCTGAGGGCGCTGGTGCAGCAGTTCACCGCCATCACCGGTGGGTGCGGGCCGACGGGCGCTCCCGGGAAGCCGAGGGCGGGTTCCGCGCGGCTCCCCCGCGCCGGCGGGCCGCGGGGCGGGAGGCGCGGGCCGAGGCGGAGCGGTTCCGGGCGCGCTGCCCCGCGGCCCCCGGGCCTGTCTGCGGGCGCGCCCCGGGGCCCGCCCGTCGCGGCGGAGCTGCTCTGTGCCCCCCGGCTTTCTGCGCGGCGGGGAGTCCCCCTCCCAGCGGTGGCTCGGGGTTTCCTCCCAGTTATCCCGTTGCGTGTCCCGCTCCCTCCGCGCTGCTCCTGCTCTCCCTCCCTGCTCTGCTCCTCCCCGGGAGCCCCGTTCCGCTCCGGCGGGGAACGCCGGGAGGGGAGCCCCGAGTCTGCCTTTTAAAAATACGTAATTATTGTGCGATGCCGGCGACTTGCGGAGGGTTGAGTTTGCTCGCGGAGATGGCAGGTCGCTCTTACGTGGAAGTTTGCGTCAGGTGACAGCCCCTGACAGCGCCGGGCTGTGTACTCGGAGCGCTTGACCCACTTTGTTCTTAATCTGCTCCGCTGTGGTTCCCCCTCGCTGATGGCTTTGCGTGTCTGATGCTGCAGGGATGTTTAATAAGATGTATCAACAACAGCCAAAAAGAAGCGAAACTGCTTTTGACTGGGTTGCTCGAGCCAGCTCCCGTTCAGGTTGTGTCCCTGGCCAGTGCTCCTCCTGATACCCCCCAGGATCCCATCGGACGCACTCAAACCCTGAACAAGGATGTGAAAGCCCCGTGTGAACGGGGAAAATCACTGATCTCTCAGCTATCCCTAAAGAATTCTTTCAGAGTAAACCCCGTGAACAAAAAGGATTTGCAGCAAACACGTTTTCACTGTAGTGTGTGCCTGTGTGTGAGATACTTGCTAAAAACAACCAGGACAGGCAGAGCTGTGCTGGTTTGCTCTTCCTTGACATATTTATATGCTTCTATGTTTTATGTTAAATGGGAGAACACCCCTCTTTATGTTTTCTAAAATTGAAAAAAAGGACCTGCTGGGCTTTGCCCAGTTCTGAAGCTTTGTTTTTTTCCATTTTCATAGAATTTAAGGTTGTATCCAGAAGTGTATTGTTAGTGTGGTGTGACAGGTGCTCCAAGTTCACACCTCAGTGGTCTGTGTTAGCAGCTTCCAGCTTGGAGCTGTGTATTATGGAATCGCTCCTGTCTGGGGGGAAAAGACAGAGTGATTTCTCTGCAGTGGAAGGATGCGGTAGGGAGGGATGAGGAGAAATAGTCCTTGATGCTTTTCTTTTATCTGATGGCAGAGTTGTGTTTATGTAGTGCTTTCATCCCGAAGAGTACTGCTAAGAGGATATGGATCCTGCATGTCTTCCCAAGGAAGTGATGGGATCTCTGTGAAATTTGCTTTGAAACTTACAAAATATTTACTATTTTCTGTTTGCCAGCACAAGAACTGAAAGCCTTCACGTGATGGCACTTTCTTCAGGAGGGATGAGGAATCAGTGCAAGCACTTTCTGTGTCGGTGTCTCTTTAAATAGCAGAGGGTTGAATTATCATTTTTGTTCTAGTTCTTGCGAATGAATGGCTTTGCATGACTGTGCAGTGAGGTGTGGGGTGGGGTGTGTGTGTGTCCCAGACTCACAGGTGTGGTTTCGTTGCTACAGTTGACATTGAAATGAGCCGAAAATGCCAAAGAACAGTTTGTGGGAAGAACGCGTCGTTTTTTAGGATGTCACTAGTTTTTATTTTGCACTTTCTTCACCTTGATTAAGGTCTTACAGTACAGCTGCCTGCCGTCCTGGATCCTTTGTCACAGCAGGTTGGGTGTTTGCAAAGCCAGTTCCCTCAGTCAGTCTGGCCTTCTCTGTGATTTGATGTGCAGGTTATTTAGAACGGGTTGCTCTCAACTCAGTTTCAAAGCCCGTTTGAGCTGGAGCTTCTTGAGCCTTTCCCAGAAAATCTTGAGAAACACCCAAATGTGTTTGCCTAGACTGATGTTATCTGTGAGCCTGGATTTTGGGCAAAGTGTTTTGTTCGTTTTTGTGAACTTGGAGGAAGAATTGCTACAGATCCCAAAGCTGCTCCCAGACTGGTTTAGCTGCATTTTACTGCTGTTCCTCTCTACCAGACTTTCCATAGGAAAATAAGCTCTTTGGCAGCCCACCACCTGTGGAGAAGGGGCTGAACTCAGTAGACACTTCAAGGATTGGGTGCAGGAGAGCTTCCTTTGCTGAGGGAACTTCTGCTGACAGGATGGTTTTGGAGGGGACGTTGGGAGGTAGACTCTTCCCTCTGAGGAAAGGGTCACAATTGATTTTGGGAACTGCTCTTTCATCCTTAGCAGCAAGGTTTAAACTGGGATTAATTGCACTTTAGGAGGTGTTCAAAGACAGGTTGGATAGGGCTTGGAGCAACCTGGTCTAGTGGAAGGTGTCCCTGCCTACGGCAGGGGGTGGGACTGGGTGGTCTTTAAGGTCCCTTCCAACCCAAACCATCCTGTGATTCTAGGATTTTAATGAATGTTAGTCGTTAGTAGCACTTGTCTACAGAGTCCTGTGTATTTCTTCCCCTTGGCTGTTTTTTTTATGTTCTTATGTGAACTGAACTTCTGCTGGTTTGTTTTTGCAAATCAGCACAATCAGAAAATCAGGGAGCCTTTTCTTCCAGCTCTAAATATCTGTTACAAGTGGGTGAAAAAGCTTTAGCAGCTGATTTAGTATTCTCCCTATTAAAATGTTAAGTCAGGTTTTCATTTTTCTTTCTGTATCACTACTTCTGTTTGGAAAGTTCACAGAATCATGGAATGGTTTGGGTTGGAAGGAACCTTAAAGCTAATCCAGTTCTGTCCCCTGCCATGGGCAGGGATGCCTTCCACTAGCCCAGGTTGCTCCAAAGCCTGGCTTTGGACACTTCCAGGGATGAGGCAGCCACAGCTTCTCTGGGCAACCTGTACCAGGGCCTCCCCACCCTCACAGGGAAGAATTTCTTCCCAACATCCCATCTAATGCTGCCCTCAGTGGGAAGCCATTCCCCCTTGTTCTGTCACTCCAGGCCCTTGCCCAAAGTCCTTCTCCAGCTCTCTTGGAGTGCCTTCAGGCACTGGAAGGGGCTCTGAGGTCTCCTGGATCCTTCTCCAGGCTGAACACCCCCAGCTCTCCCAACGTGTCTTGAGAGCAGAGGGGCTCCAGGCCTTAGAGCATCTCCATGGCCTCCTCTGAACTACAACAGGTCCTCATACCAGGCAGAATTGTACCAGGAAAAGGTCTGACCTCTAGAAAAAAATCACAACCATGCTAAAGCACCTCAGATGACTTCCACTAGGTTTTCTGTTGCTGTCAGGAAGAAGCCTGGCTGTCCTCTGTGCAGGCTTTCCCTTCCATAACTATCCTTCAGGGATAAATAACAACTGATGAACAGCTCTTCCTGATCATTCATGCTTCGAGAGGAAGCTGTTCTGGACGCCTCCAGTCAAAACACCTTCATTTTCCTGTGGCATTCCAGGTGCTAGCGAGAGCGTGGGGAAGCACATGCTGGAGGCCTGCAACAACAACCTGGAGATGGCTGTCACGATGTTCCTGGACGGCGGGGGCATCGCCGAGGAGCCCAGCACCAGCTCCGCGGGGGTGTCAGCCGTGCGCCCACACACCGAGTACGTACCTGGGGAACGCGGCCGTGGGATGGGCTGTGCTAAAAATGTCACAGTGTCAGGTAGAGCAAACAGGGCAGCTGCCACTCCTAACCTGCCCCCAGCTCCCTGCAGTACCTGCTGCTTCAGTCCCTGTTAGATTGGTTGCTCCAACATTGCTCCAGGTCAATGAAGTTGTTGCATAGCCTGTAGACCAGCAGAAATTAGTCTCTTGAATGTACTTCAGAAGTTTTCTGTGGCTGACACGTATTGTTTTTTACAAACAAGGCACAAGACATTAAAGTGAGGTTCCAATAATAAGAGACTCTCACTTTTAAATTGCTCCAGAAATGATTTAGTCACATTTCATAGAATTCTGAAATCGGTAAGGTCAGAAAAAAGACCTTAAAGATCGTAAAGTGCAACTGTCAACCCAGCACCTCCACCATCCTCACTGCTAAATCATGTCCTCAAGTGCCACATCTGCACGTTTTTTGAACACTTCCAGGGATGGTGACTCCACCACTTCCCTGGGCAGCCTGTGCCAGTGCTTGACAACCCTTTCAGTGAAGAAATTTTCCCTAATATCCAGTCTAAACCTCCCCTGTCACAACTTGAGGCTGTTTTGTCTCACTGTGTCACTTATTACCTGGGGGGGGGTTTTGTTTGTTTGGAAGTGTTTTATCCCTGTCTGGCACTGGAGAGGCCAGACCGTGTCCACCAGTGTGCAAAGGAATCAGCAGCTTCAACCTCTGTATCAGTGTCTTGCACATCAGATGCCTGTAAAGGGAAGAGTTTTTCCCCTTGATCATGGCAGAAGGGCTTTTGGTGCTGCCTCTTGATGAGTCTGTTTGGGACAAATGGAATGTTTTCAGTGGAAATTACTTGGTATAAATCACATTCATTAAATAATGTAAATTAAACCTGGCCAGGCTTTTGTCTATATGAAAATTTTCCTCTTCAGGAAAAAGACAGAAGAAAATCCTCCCCCCTCATCCTTCTGAAGCACACGTATAAATTTAAACAATTGTTATGTACTGACTTGCATAGCTCACGCCAAGTGCCTTCCTGCTTGAACCTTTGACAGATAATGGAAGGTAAAACTCTGTATTTATAGGTGTTAGCAATCTTATTTCTAGACAACTTCTGGCACATCAGTGACTTAAGACTGAAGTTTTTCTTGGAAAACTTTCTTTTTTTATACTTGACACCTTCAGGTGCTGGTCAGCTTAGCGTTCCTCCTAGGAAGAGAGAACAGTAAATATGCAAATGGAGAGTCACTAGCACACAGCAGTCAGAGATGTGGAGGTTAACAGCAAGGTTAGTGCGTCCTGCTGACATTCTGAGTTAGTTTTTGAAACCTGCACGGCCAAGGGCCATCAAGTGCACACTTTACACCTTGGAAGAGTTTGAGGGGAGAGGGAGTTCGTAGGCAGGATGTAGTGATGGATGAACCCATGTCCTCCTCCACACAGATCCAAGGGCCAGCTAACTGCACTGATTAAGTGATGTTTCAGAGCCCTTGTGATTTCCTTTCTTGTCCTAATTGCAATTCCAGATTATCTGTCTCTGCAGGCATAACTGAGCTGTTGATGTGTGAGGGAGCCCAGCTATGTAAGCCAAGAATTGCTTGAAATGGGGGGAAATGGCTGTTTTGACCATCCTGTTTTCTTCTTTCTGGATAAGAGGGAGCTCTGGCTTTTAACTGAAAGCAAAAAGTCTTCCAGCAGAAGAAAACTGATAATAGGGATGATAATAGTTTTTGCTCTCTGTGTAGATAATCAGAGAAGGAGGATGGCAAATGGAGTAATTAACAGCTTTTGCTAAGTTTTAAGAAACTTTTCCAAGTTCTAACAGAGTTATTAAAGAAGAAAGAAATGTTTAAATAGTAGATTGACAATGCCTGGGATCAAATCACTCAGGGGTTTGTGTAATCTCCTATCAAAGGTAATCCGTGCCAGAACTTGATGCAGTGGGTACCAAGTCCTGCAGCAGTGCCATGAGGGGGAATAGATGGTCTCTCAAGGTCCCTTTTAACCCCAAATCTCTTCATTCTGTGCTATGGTACAGCAGCATCCTTAGCTGGTTCGAGTTGCAGGAGCCTTTGGAGCACAGTGAAATGTGGTTTATACATTCCTTTGAATATTATCATCTCTCTGATCTTTTTTTTTTCTTTGTTTTTCTTCCCCTTTGATAGGGATGAAGTACGAGCTCCAATTCCTCAAAAGCAGGAAATTTTGGTAGAACCTGAGCCCTTGTTTGGAGGTAGGCTTGTGTTTTTATTTTGTTTCTGTTTTCTTTACGTTGAGATAAGAGCTAAGTGACAAAACCTGAACTTGCTAAATATGAAGAAATAACACCAGTGGTATCGAAAACCTCACACGTGAGAGATGCTGCGTTCCCAGTGGTCCTAATTTGCTAACTCCTGTTTCATGAGACCTGGTGAGGCAACAGCCAATTAACTTAATTAAGTACACATCTGCATTCTGGGGGTTCAGATCCGTGGGATACTGTTGTGGAAGTGTTCAAGGTGCTGGGATGGCAGATTGAGCCTTGGCTCAGTCTTTGTGAAAATGAAGTGGAAATGAAGAGGACAAATGCATGCTTCCCAGGGAGATGGGAGATCAAAAGGAAGAGCCAAACTGTATGGTTATTACCCATAACTTTCTCCATTCCTCATTTAGGAATTTATTTTGCTCTTTAAGCTGCATTATGCATCTACTATTCTTGTCTCTGTCCTTCCCATGTTGACCAGGCCATTTCTGGGCTGACTTTTGCCATGTCAAGTGGATTGAGAACCGTGCCCATTTCATCAAGGAAGGCCATGCAAGTGCTCTCCGCTGAAGTGGTCTCACACTCATGGGAAATGCTCTTTTCTCTTTGTTTAGTTCCTGTGTTAGAAAGGAGAAGGAGACCAAGCTTCGGGTTTATCTGGGAACTGGTTTTCTCTTGAACCTTTATTTCAGCATCGGAGAGGTCTTTAGCCAGGATGCACAAGCTGGGAGGTGGTTCCAGAGGAAGGTGTCCTGCTGAGGCCCCTCTGAAGACAGAGAAGCTTTGTACTTGTTCCTGTGGCCTGACAGAGTTTTTGACAAAGATCCATAGACTCCTGTGGGTTCAGGAATCTAAGTGGTGCAGGATTAAGATCTGCTGACCCTAATGGTTGGTCACGTTCTATCCACCTGTCAACACACTGATCTCAGTCACAGTCACTGACCACCAACTGAGGGGACCTGGATCAGTGATGCCCTCCTGGCACCGCCTGATCCACCAATGCCACTTCTGTTTCTAACATGAAGCAGCCTGAAAAAGGAGCTGAACCTGGAGAGATGCTTCATTTGTCTTCTCAGCTCTAACCTCAAAGCAGGGGAGGTGCTGCTTACTGTTTTTAGCAGTGTCATATTGAGGTGGTGCTGTGAGCTCAGGTTTTCTTCCAGTTGAAAAGGTGACCCAAAAAGGTATTTGTGCTCTGCCAGATGCACAGATCCTGTCTTGCAGTGCAAAGGATAATGAGGGAAGCAGCTGCCTGGGCTGCAGGGAACCTGCTCACCTGTGCTGCCGGGCTGGGGCTGAGCCTGCAGGGACGTGCTGCTTTTGCTGAAGAGGTCCTTCAGCTGCTGAGTTGAAGTTGCTCTGAGGTTGGCTTTAGTGGGCTATGCTTGTCCCTAATCACTTGGGGTGAAGGTGTTACTCACTGGAGTTGAGATGTTATTATTCACAGGCATGTTCCTTGTTCAGGCTTTTTCTGTGATAGTCTGTATTAACATTCTTCCACTGGGTATAGGTGGTATTTATCTTGCTTTAATTTGTTATTTATTATGTTTTGTAGCAGTTGGGCTTTGAAAGTTCTATCTTAAAATTGCTCTGTTGGTAGGAAGGGACATAAAGAGCTGCAACAAGTCCCAGCAGGCAGTTCTGTTTTCATTCCAAGTGCAGTGATTGTCCCATACCTTAGGACTTCAGTGGGACTTGAGAGTATTATTTCTGTCATTTGCCCGGGCTTTCGTCTCTGTCCAGCTGCAGATAATCAGTTCCGAAGGTTTCCAGTGACACTGGATCTCATGGAAAAATGTGGCTGTTGCGAGTCCAGCCAAGAAGTTGAGACAAGGTCAGGATGAGAGTTTAGAAAAGAATAGAACTGCATTGTGGAAAAAACACAAATGTGTTGCCTTACAAAGAAAATATTCTCCCATGGGGTTTAATCTTTTGAAGGTTTTCATCCACTTGAAGGCCTTTGGTAAAATCTTGACTGGATTTGTGACATGGTGATGCTGTGACAGCACTGCCACTACGTGCTAATGGGCCTTGGTGAGCCCATCAGAAGGGGGTAACTTTAAAACATCTATGTATTGTTGATACATGTGTATTTCTGGGGTAGGGTTTGCTGGAGGCAGGATGTGTTGGAAAATGGGATTTACAAACTACCTGTTTCCATCCTCCTCTGTTTCTTCCTCTATTCCCACATCATCCCTGCTTTGGGTTCCTATTCTGTTTTCCCACACACGTGATGGAAAGTACTAATATGTGTTTGTTTGGAGAAGACACTTTGACCTAACTCTTGAATTTTGTTTTTTTTAAGCCCCTAAAAGACGCCGACCTGCGCGCTCCATATTCGATGGCTTTCGGGATTTTCAGACAGAAACCAGTAAGTGTCTACAGATCAGTAAGCCTGACTTTCTATTTTACTGCTTTTAATGCAAATAAGATTGAAAAACTGTTTCTCTTGTAGGCCAGGACAGCTTTCAGTTGTTGAATGGGTTTTAAATTGCCGATGGTATAGAAGTTTTTTTAAATAACATTATTAGAATTATAGAATCATTATTATCACAACATATTCTGTCTGCTGTCATAAGGCAAATACTTTCTTGCTGCCTCTCAAAAAAAACCTCTTTCTGTTCTAGAGGGAGTACAAAAGGGGGAAGAATCTCTAACATCCAAGTAGAAATTAAGTTCACCCACTGAATATTTCTTGGCTAGGCAGTGGTCATTCTGGCACTTGAATTACATTTGAGTAGCCCTGAGGCTGCTTCTGTGGCCACACACGAGGTTCTTATGACTTGAATTGCTGTTTGCCCCTGTCTGTTCACACACAGGATTTCCAAATGCCAAAGCACTGGCTGCTGTTTAATCCACTAAGTTTCACAGAATATCATTGTGACAGCACACCACCAGCTATTTCACAGCTGAGTTATGGCTGTTTGTACAGTTCTTGTTGCTGATGGTGCTGGAGTATTCCAGAGGTGTAACCATTGAATCATTAAGGTTGGAAAAGCCCTCCAAGACCATTGAGTCCAACCATCCCCCAGCACTGCCAAGGCCACCACTAACCCATGTCCCCAAGTGCCACATCCACATGGCTTTTAAATCCCTCCAGGGATGGGGACTCCACCCCTGCCCTGTGCATCTGTGCCAGGACTGGACAGCCCTTTCAGGGAAGAAAGTTTCCCTTATATCCAATCCTAACCTCCCCTGGTGCAGCCTGAGGCTGTTTCCTCTTGTCCTGTGCCTTGTTCCTGGGCTCTGTGGACCATGGTCCCACACAATTTGGTGTGGGCTGCCAAACTGAAAATAAGTATTGATAATTACAAGTTAAACCTGACAGGTTTGGTGAAGGTTTTGCAGCATTAAGTACAAAAGTCACTGGCAGCTGTGTAAATGAAAATGCACCATTTACAGAATCACGATTCTTATTCTCACCATCTTCCAACCTGATCTAGTGGAAGGTGTCCCTACCCCTGGCAGGGTTTGGAACTTTAAGTTCCCTTCCAACCCAAACCATTCTGGGATTCCACTCTTAAGACGTAGAGATTTTTCCGTATTAACTAAATCTGTTTGGATTTTCTTTTTTGTGGGATTACCCCACAGTCAAGTAATGGAAATACTACAGCAGGAATATTCCATTGCTGCAATGTAGCTCAGTTCTCCCTTTTAAAGCATCACTGGGGACAAGTCATGGCTTCTTTTGACTTATTTGTTTTCAAATACTGGTATATGAACCCCCTTCTGCTGATACTCAGGTTTATGAAGATGTTTTTTAAAAAGTTAAAGTGTGTGAGAAAGCCGAGACGAGTGGGGTTCTGCCCTTACGTGGCAGCTGTTCTTGTTCAGCGGGGTCTAACCCTGTGCCTAGTGCTGAAGTTTTGTGTTTGAGAGTTCAGTCAACCATAAACCCACCCCGAGAGTATGTTTTGTCTAACTCAGCTTCCTTTCCTCTTGGGGCGGTGCAGTTCGGCAGGAGCAGGAGCTCCGGAATGGAGGGGCCGTGGACAAGAAGCTCACGACGCTGGCAGATCTCTTCAGGCCTCCCATTGACCTGATGCACAAGGGCAGCTTTGAAACGGTGAGGGCTGAAAGGAGGGGGTGCAGCTCCTCTGTGGTGGCTGTGTCAGGCTGCTGGAATGGGGGGGATCCATGGCTGGAGGGTCAGGAAGTTGCAAAGGACTGTGCAGTGATAAATATTTGGTGGACTGTGTATGGGAATGCTCGTGACATTCAAGGACATTAGGACAAGAGGGCACGGGCTTAAGCTCTGCCAGGGGAGGTTTAGGTTGGATATTAGAAAGAAGTTCTTTACAGAGAGAGCGATCAGGCATTGGAACGACCTGCCCAGAGAGGTGGTAGATTCACCGTCCCTGGAGGTTTTTAAGACGAGGCTGGATGTGGCACTGAGTGCCATGACCTGGTAATCACAGTGGGGTTGGATCAATGGTTGGACTTGATGATCTCGGAGGTCTCTTCCAACCCAGTTAATTCTGTGATTCTGTGACTTCACTAATGGTGGTGTCACCTGGAAGGGACCTACAAGGACCATCAGGTCCAGCTCCTGACCGTGTAGAGCCGTTGTTTATGTCTCAGTATCAGTGTGGCAAATCACACCTGGTGAAAGACTTGGGTGAGCAAGGGAGGCTGATCAGAATAGAAACGTTGAATCCCTGTAGGTCACAATACAGAAAAAGCTGGAGAAGGATTGCTTTGGATAGGTGAGGAAGGACTTCACAAAGGGCAGGATAGTTTGCAGCACAGCCCTTCTGAGAAGCTCAGGTGAACACATCTCAGTGGGTTTTGATACCTGAGCTACTAAAAGTGTTTGAGTGTGGCTTTACCGTGAAGCCACAGCTTCATCTTCAGTAGAGGCCCTGCTCATGTACAAAATGGGCGCCTTTTGCATCTGGTGGCGATGGGAAAAGTATCCCAGAGATACAGGGGACTGTCAGCTTTAAATAATCCGAGGTGTCATAATTTCCTGTCTGTGTAGGCCTCCCTAGATCTCATCCTAAGTTGTTCTGATGCGGATCAGCAACTCAACTAATGATTAGAGAATATGCAGATTGGTATATATTTTTATATATATCATTTCCAGATATTCTTCGGAAGTTTCAGTTACTACTGAACTTCCTCCTGGTCATCTTTGAATAGCGGAGATTGATGATGGTAGTGATTGTTATTATGGGAATGCAAAATAATGATCAAATGGTGCAGTGCAGATGTTGAAGAACTGACTGCAGGAGCTGAACGAAAATAATATTTACCTTGTTTGCACATGTGCCTCTATTGCTGTGCACAAATACTGGAGCACTGCTGGAGAACTTTGGATGAAACACTTGGGCCCTTACTGAGTTTCCAACTCTCATTCTGTTACTCTCATCACTTTTTATGCTTCCCAAATCACCAAGGATCGGTTGCCTAGTCACTAATTCCCCTGTTCTGAGATTCCCTCCATGTATTTAATCTTCTAACAAAATTCCAGGTGTGAAAGGATGCTGGCAGAGGACAGCAGTGTCTGCCTTGGGATTGAGTTGGGAAGCAGAGGAGCAGCCTGAAGCACTCGGTGCTTGGGTGTCCCTGCCCTGTGATCTGTGGTTCAGGGTTCACTTCAAACGAGGGTGTGTCAGGTTTTCCAGCTGGTGATACCTCCTGGGCCTGGGGTTCAGAGCTGCTGGTGAAACCACCAAACACGTGGTTAAAAGCAGCAGTAACAGGAATTCACATGAAAACAACCAGTGCTGCTCCGGGACAGTCAGGGAGTGGAATTTGAGATGTGGAATTTGCTCGTCCTTCCTCGGGTCTTGCTGAAAACATATCAAGACTTTAGCAATGTTAATTGTGGCATCTGTCACAGTCAAAAGTAGATTCAGAGATTGACACAGCTCATTGATGGATTTGTTTGTCCTAAAGTCTCTGCATTCTGATTCACTCTTGAAAAATAAAGAAAAAGAAAGGGTGAGCTGGGAGTGGGGAAGGGGATTGTAGATACCTTGTTCTGTGCAGGGGCTCCACTCTAAAGACATGTACACCTTCTGGTGTGTGTTCTTGTACAGTTCCTTTTCCCATGGGATATCCTTCATTTCACTCTGATGCTCCTCAGCTTCGTTGCAGTAAAAATCTTCATCTTCTCAATGTGTCAGTCACTTGCATTTTACCTTTCCTGCCTGCAGACTGCTCTGCTGCTTCAACCTGGGACAGTGTGGGGCCTCAGTGACCAGAGTCTCTCAAAATTCATCTCTAGCAAGCTGCCCTTGGCTTTCTCCCTTCTTTGTACGCTGAGAGAAACCAGAGGATAAATCAGAGATGCTCATCACATTCCAGAGTGCCAAAAAACTAAATGCTGTCATTTTGATGCTCTTGTAGTTAAGTTTTGATCCAAGTGGGGTTTCCTTACCATGGTTGGTGTGTGGTGTGTCCCAGCCTGTGAAAGGCTCAGCCAGGATTAAACCATCTACATTTATCATGGAATCATTTAGGATTTAGGACTTCATTCAAACTTGGCAAGAGTGGTGGCATCTGGTCTTATTAATGCTTTTATGTATCTTTGTTGCTCATGGTCTGTTGCTCCTCTTCGCGTTGTCAGTAAGGTCCAAAAAGCTGCCATTTCATTTTCATTTTTTCAGTGATACACTGAAGAAAAAAATTTCAAGTGTTGAATGTCATTGGGGGTTATTTTGACTTGCTATATGTGAAGATGCCTTGTGCTTCACGTGCAGAACCACTTATGATCACTGTACTTGTAAAGTGTGTGATCTACTAAACTAAACAGAGTTCTCTCCTTGATGTGGAATCTGCTGTGGGCATAAATCACTCGAGTACAATAAACAAATTGCACCCCAAAAATGCTTGGTAGGGAACAGTGGTTTAGTTCTCATCTCAGACTGCTTTGAAGAATTGCAGGTGTTCTCCCTTCGTGCATGTGACATGAGAGACGATTTAGTTTGAGGAGTACACACTGAATTGCCTTAGTTTACCTCTCTTATTGAGGGAGGAGGTGGTTCTGGTGTGGGCAGTTCTGTGTTTAACACTCACTGGGGATTCACTGAAGTGACTGGATGTCGTTTTGCAGAGTTTTGAGTCCATCTGTAATATTTTTTTTTGCTCATTTTACAAGTTAAGCCTTTTCTAGCTGCTCCCTGCTTTACACCTGAGAATTGTTTTTTTTTTTTTTTTTTATTGTTACTACTTAACAAACAGCAACAGTTTGGAAGCTGATCTGGTCACTGTGTGGTAGAGGAGCATAAGGTGCTTCTGTCCTGATTTGGGTCAGCATGGCCTGCAGGTACAGCCGTGGCACAGAAGTGGCTCCTTGGAGAAAGGATCTGTGCCCTGCCCCAGACAGGAGGTGTAAGTGTGGCACAAACAGGAGATTTCTTGTTGGATGATCTCCTGCTCTGACTCTCTGTCACCTGTTATCTTCCACCCTGAATCACTCAGATGTCCAGAGAGTCACAAGATGCTTGGCTCCACTTCCTTCTCCCTGCTGACTTGGAGGAGGATTGCATCTCCACAAAGCTGAGCCACCAACAACATTTTTAAACCATGCATGTTCAGAGAAGTCAAATGAGAAGAAAACTTGTTACTTTTACTGGTGCAAGAGCCAGAGGTTGTGCAGTGAGATCCAGCACCGGATGTGAACCAAGACTTGTTTCACGGGTTGTCTGACCAGTTTGCTGCTCTAAGTTGTAGTGATGAAAGATGTGGCTGGGAAAGGGTAAAGGCAAACTTAGGACAGATTGGAGCGGTTTGGTTTGGTTTTTGCATCTGAATTCCACTGGCTCTGCTCTCAGAGTGGCTGTTCTGTGGTGCCCTCTCTGTGGGCTCCCTAAGTGCCTGGTGCTGGTCCATCGAAGGGGGAGGAGAATGGGGGGGCAATTGGTGATGGAAACAGTGGATCTAAATCCATCAGGCAGCTTTTGGGATACACAAGCCGGCTCTTGAGCCTACCCTTGTTCTTTTGTCACCAAAATGACCCACCTGTATAATCTGCAAACCCTCAGCGATTCTTCCCCACACACTCTTCTCCTTCCACTCCCTCAAAAGAATCCCAGGAGCTGTGTAAGAGCAGGGTTGTGGGTGTGAGCTAGCAGCAGTTTAACTGTGTCCTTTTAAGTGGTAAATCTGCAGCCTATTTCTGGAAGCAAGTTCAAAGTAGTTTCAAATGCTCTACCTGCTCTACAGGTGAAAACTCATCTTTGCAAATGTTCTGTGTGGAATTTCCTGCTTCCATCCTTCAAAGGACTTTAGCTGGACAGAGGAGAGGTAGAGCAAGAGGTTTTCATTAATATTGAAAAGTATACAAAGCGCAGAAGAGCGAGGTGCACTTCCCAGCTTTCTAATTATATATTTTTGAGTTTGTTCTTTTAATCCAGTACACTTTAGATTAGGACACAGGACTAAGGCAATCCAATTGACTCAAGTAACTTAAGGATTTTTGTTCCCTATATATTTGGGCACTACCTCTGGGCCTTGTCTTGAACCAATTTCCAAGAATTAATTCTCAAAACCCACAGTTAGCTCAAAACAAGTCTTTTAAATAAAAGCACGATGGCTATATTTAAGACCCTTACCAGTTACTTAAATGTCACCTGCCCCACTTTTCTCACCTGGTGACCAAATACTGGATTCTGGCAGTGTGATATTAGTGGTAAGTAGTCAGTGGGAGGCCCCTTCTGAGAGCAGGACTGTTCCATGCTTCTATATTCATTTTTTTTTTCCTTTGAGTGAAACAAAAGCTGTCTCTGCAGGGCACTTGGCCACGCAGATGGATTTTGTTGGCTGAGGTTCCTGCCTTGGTGAAGCTGATTGTGTGGGGTTCACACGTCAGTCTGTCATGTAGTGGACAGGCTGACTGTTCCAAACCACACTGGCTAAAATTCATTTCAAAAGTAAAAACTGTGGTTTGGGGAACAAAGTAGTGCCCAAAACAGCAAAATCTTGCATAACATCCTGATTCCTGTGAAATTTTTTCCTTTGAACTCCTCGACAGTACGTTACCAGCAGGATGGTGAACATCACTTAAAAATACATATTTTTGAAAGCAAAGGGAGTTCCTATGCCAATTCCAGTCTTTCCAGGTGGTAAGAGCATTCCTGCTGTTGATCTAGCCCTCTTTTTTTCAACAGGTATGACAGTTCAGCGATCAGAATTACATTCTTGATCAAACTCCTACCATTAACTTGCAACCAAGCAATCAGACAGTGCCAGCTTTGTGACTCAAACCAGTAAGATTTCTTCCTGCACCTTCTTGTCTTCCTCCCCACTTGCAGTCTGGATAAGGAGCATCAAAAAGGATGCCTAATTCGGCAGCTGGACAGTCACAGAGTAACTCAGAACTGGGAGAGGAAAAAGGAAACAGCAAAGCGGTCCTGTTGAATTAATACAAGTCCTCTGTCAATTATGCAACCTGTTTACCTAGATGATCCATGGGTTTATCTTTAGACTGAGTAGGTCTTTGTTGTCAGACCAATGTGACTGACTACACTTTTTCCTGAATAAATACTTTATTCAGCATCGCCATGTGTGTCCCCCCTCTGAGTTGCTTTTCCAACCCTGTGCTTGGCTTGTTGAAAATCCAGCAGCTCTGTTCATCGATGTGATTCTGTAATTCAGCCAGGCTCATTTTAAAGCAGATCCTTCAGCCCTGCCTTCTGTCTTGTGGATGCCTTTTCACTAGCTCTGTCCATCTTCCTCACTGGGAAGGGTTTTGGTGGAAGGTCTGACAGTGTTAGAAGCCATCTCTGATCATTGGTGGTGTCTGGCTCTTCACTCTGATCTCACAAAGCTTTCCTCTCTGCTTCCAGGCCAAGGAGTGTGGTCAGATGCAGAACAAGTGGCTCATGATAAACATTCAGAACGTGCAAGACTTTGCCTGCCAGTGTCTCAACCGCGATGTCTGGAGCAACGAGGCCGTGAAGAACATCATCCGGGACCACTTCATTTTTTGGCAGGTGAGAAATGGAATGGGGCTGGATGTGTGGGTGATCTGGGACCTTGGTAGATGGAACAGTTAGAAAAAAAAAGGACTTATTTGAATGCAATGGCATGATGGAATTCCCTTGAGCTTGCAGAGAAGATATGTGTCATGGAGTGTGTGTAGTTTATGGATGGAGATGTAATTCATGGATATGCATTTGAATGCATAAACAGCCTTTCACTTGTGCAGTCGAGGTGTTGCCACTTAGCTTCTAACACATGGAGAGCTGCAGGCAGATTGTCAGCTCATCACAGTTCCTGAGAACTGTAGGTACCTTTCATAGTTTATCTTGTAAACAAGAGAAAAACTTGGTGAATTTTGAAGGCACAGTTTGTTTGCGTTCCCTCTCAGGCCACTGATTTGCCCAGCGTGGTGTTTTGCAGGTGTACCATGACAGCGAGGAAGGACAGCGGTACATCCAGTTCTATAAATTAGCAGACTTCCCTTACGTCTCCATCCTGGATCCCAGGACAGGTAAGGCAGGTACCAGTTGGAGTTATCCCATGGGAAGGACTGGCAGTTGTAGGCTGGAATACCTTCCACTGCAGTTGGTGTTACATTGGGCTGAAGAATCTCTGCGAGACCTTGCTGTTGCTGAACAGTGACACAGTATGTTCTGGAGGAACTAAGGGAATGAAACCCCCCAAACTTGCAGAAATCCTGTGTATTTGAAGCTTAGTGAGTGCTTTGCTTAGGAGGTGAAAATAGTTCCACCTGGTGGTAAAACTCTGAATTTAATTCTTTTTTTTAACTCTCCTTTTAAAAGCTTCTTGAAATCACGTGATGAATAAACTACAATATTTGTAAGCACTGCTTACAAATGAATCTGCTTCCTGCTCCTTCTGCACTATTTTTGTGAGGCCAATGGTGTCTTTTTAAAATGCATCTTAGTTTTGAAATACTGTTTTGGTTTCAAGTTTGTTGTTTTTGGGTTTTGTTTGTTTGTTTGTTTGGGGTTTTTACCTGAACAATCAAAGTTCTGCTTCCCCCTCCAGTTCTTTCAAAAGTGTTACTTTTTTTCTTGTATCCCAGCACCTTCTTTTATCATCTTATAATGCAGCTGTCAGGTCTCCTCCTTCTAAGGTCTGAAGTAATAATTCTATGATCAAAGCTTAGATTTCTTCATGTTTGACTTAAACCAGCCAAAAATATACATATTTTTTTAATGTTGCAGCTGAAGTTAGGATACTCTTCTTAGCACTTTACTTCTGGGAACAAATGCTGTTTGCCAAGGGTTGGAATCAGTTCAGCAGGAATGTAGACATACTTCTTCATAAACCAAGTGGTTTGGTGTTTATTCATTTGGAAGACAAATCCACCATTCTGTGCTCACATAGATAGAAAAGAAAAATAAACTGAGTCTGTATTTGTGTCTGTTCCTTTTCAAGGGAGTGGAAGGAGGAAGCTCCATGATTATCAGGTGGTAGCCTGTGGGAAGCTGCAGTTCCACAAATACAGACTCTTGCAGCAGTGAGTTGGTGTGTTTGACCACTGAACTGCAACTTTTGCTGAAATTGTGTTTCATGATGCCTTTTGTTCCCTAGGCCAGAAGCTCGTGGAGTGGCACCAGCTGGATGTGACTTCTTTCTTGGACCAAGTGACTGGGTTCCTGAGTGAGCACGGCCAGCTGGATGGGCATTCCACCAGCCCTCCCCAGAAATGCTCTCGCTCAGTAAGTACGAGGCCCTCTGGCAGGACTGGAGGCACCTGAAAGAGCACTCTGGCCTGTCTTTATCCAGCTCCACTGATTTCCCAGACAGTCTCACCGAGTTACTGCAAGGGCATGCAAAAATGCGGTGTGCCAGGGAATGCCTTCTCCCAGGATCACCGTTTTGTTGTGCAGTGTGTGCTGTCAGCATTTGGTTTGGATTTAACAGCATGTGTGAGAGGAAGATGGATTACTCCAGGCAGAACTCCAAGGAGAAGCCATTAACTAACAATAGCATGACTAGCTTTCCCTGCTGTTTGTTCCTGACAGGTTTAGTAGCTCCCCTTTGGAAGGCCGGTGCCCTTTTGATTTTTCGGTACATATTTAAAAGTGGTTCTGATGTATTTGTGTCGTGCCTGCATTCCACAGGAGAGTCTCATCGATGCCAGTGAGGACAGCCAGCTGGAAGCTGCCATCAGAGCCTCCCTGCAGGAGACACATTTTGATTCCTCGCAGGCCAAACAGGAGAGCCGGTCGGACGAGGAGTCGGAGTCGGAGCTTTTTTCTGGAAGCGAGGAGTTTATTTCAGTTTGCGGCTCTGAGGAGGAGGAGGAATCAGAGGTTCCTGCCAAGCTGAGGAAGTCTCCACACAAGGACTTGGGGTATAAAAAAGAGGAGAGCCGGAGGCCTCAGCCTGAGGCCCCTGCAAGGACTGAGCCTGGGACGACGTCCAACCACAGAGTTGTGCCCTGCGTCGACGCGGGGACGCTGGAGGAGTCACCGGACAAGCCTGAGAGTACGTTTCGGGGCCTAGATGTGAATGGTAAGTTCACACTTTTTATCATAACCTGGCTTTTGTTGTGTTTTTTTTTTTTTTCCCCTGAAACTGTTTATACTCTGCCAGGCATGGTTTGATCCCTGGTTTTAAAAAGCTGATTTTCTGACTCCTTGCCACTAGACAGTGATTCCCCGTGGCAGCAGCACCTCTTTGGCTCAGCCTGCAGAGTCCTGTTAGTCACAGTGTTACAGAACCTCCTGAGCTGGGAGGGACCCATAAAGACCATGGAGTCCACGCACAAGACACACCAACAATCCCACCCTGTCCCTGAGAGTGTTGTCCTAACACTCCTTGTGCTCTGGCAGGGTTGATGCTGTGACCAAGTCCCTGAGCTCAGGTTTCTTAGCTTGAGACCTTGCCTTAGGAGTAAAGCACACACTGGTGTAACACAGGTGCAGTGTGCTCTGGACAGACTGACTCGTCTTGGAAGAGACTAATGTCTTGGAAGAGTCCTGAGTTTGATGTGTATATTTTAAGCACATGTGGTAGAAATACATCTTCATAGACTGGAACCCTGTGTTTGTCTGCAGTCCCTAATCCTGCTGTGCTGTCCCATCTAAAATCTGCACAAGAGCTCAACTCAAGTCCTGTTGTTAACCTGCAGTGACTTCCTTTGTGTAGGACCAAAGGCACAGCTGATGCTGAGGTATCCAGATGGAAAGAGGGAACAAGTTTCACTGCCTGAACAAGCTAAACTTCTGGTGAGTGGAGTTAATGGGAATCCTTGTTTGAGTACAGGAGAGCTGAACCTGGAGAATTGCTGTACCTCTGGCACTGCTGAAATCAGATCTAGTGGAAGAGGTCTATCCAAGGGAGTGCTTGCACTGTCCTTCTGTTGTGTTCAGTGTCACTCCTCTCTGATCAGCAGACCCTGCTCACTCTGTGTGTTGGGTTCCCAGTACACTCCAGTGTCTTCCTTAATCCCCAAACCACTCATTTCTATTCTGCAGTGGCTCTAAGTGGCTTCTGCATTAATCATTACCATAAAACGCCCTCAGCTCACTCGTTTGTGGGACCTTGTTTCTAAATGGAAAAGTTTAGTTGGTAAAAGCAAAAGCAAAACTCTCCTTTCTCATTCTTCATCGCTCCCATCATACTTCCAGCCTCCCTTCTGGACGTGGATGACACAGCAGACTTTGGAGGAAGTTCTCTCAAAACAAATTCATTACAGTAATTATTTCAGTTTCACAGTGAAATTCACGGTTTTAAGTGTGCTTTGGGCTGGCTTCCCTTGGAGAAGTCGATGTGGATGGCATTGCCATGCAGATTTTGTGGGTGCTTTCCTGGAAGCAGCGTGAAGAGAGGTCACCGTGTTCCTGTTAGCCATGAGCTCTCAGGACACGGTGGCCAGCTAAGCTCATTTTCATGTAAGCAACCTAATAGTCTTAGGGAAGGCAAAAGCACACCTCTTCGGAAGGGTTTTGTGCAGATTTGGGAAAGAAGTCTCCTATCTCATACAGAAAATGAGGCTATCACCTAGTCTGCAGCACTCTGAGAGTGTGCAGTGTCCTCAGCTCATGTTCTTAACTCTCCTGCTTGAAAACAAATGGGGGGAAAAAAGACCTTAACTGCTTTTTGAAAGCAGTCTGCTAAGTAAATTTGTGTGTATTAATAAACATGTAGCACTTCTGAATACTTCAGGGATTTATTTAGGCAGTACATAGGTGTAATACTGAGATATCCCCTGATGATCCTGCCTTCTGGTTTGACTCCTTTTATGGACTGTGGAAGTTAAAGGAAATTTATCTCAGCATGTGATTTCCTTTCTGCTCTACATTCAGAAGAGGAATTGAACTGAGTCAAGGTTTGTGGGTAAAGGCATTTTCTGATTGCAGAGCTGAGCAGGCTTGTGTGCTTCCCTCATGTGATCTTCTAAAGCTGTTTCAGTCAGATGGAGATTTGAGTCTCAGGTGTTGCTTTGTGAGCATCATTTCCAGGATGATCTTTTGCATTTTAAAAGCTGGCCAGAACTAGAAAAAGAAATTGTTAAAGGAGACAGTTGCACTTAAAGAGTTTTAACTGATGAAAGCAGGGCTGTAGATGAGCTTGTCCAGGGCCCTCTCAAGCTGAGTCCAGAATAATTCCAGCAAGGGACATGGCACTATTTTCCCGGGAAGTTTACTCCAAAGTTTAATTTCTCTCATGATAAAGAATTCCTTTTCTATATCCAGATGAAATTTCCCCTGGGGTAACTTGTGTGTGTTGTCTCTCCTCACTGTGCATCTTTGGGAAAGAAATGCCTCTGTCATCTTTATATTGGAACACTGTGATGATAATCCCACCAAAATCGTCCCAGTGACATCCTGGATCTCTAGGCAAGCAGCAAGCTTCCAAGAGTGGGTTAGGTCAGAGGTTGGGTCCTTCAGGAGCCCCTTCCATCATAAAATCACAGAATGGTTTGGGTTGGAAGAGACCTTAAAGCTCATCCAGTTCCACCCCCTGCCACTGACAGGGACACCTTCCACTAGACCACGCTGTTCAAATCCCTGTCTAACCTGGTCTTGGACACTCACAGGGATCAGGAGTCCAAAATCTCTCTGGGTAACCCATTCCAGAAGAGTGCTGCAGGCTGCCGAAATTCACTGGCATAAGTTATCCACCAAAACTATGTAACAGTAGTGTTGAACCCCCCCCTATTTTTTCACACTTTCTATTTTATTGCATACAAGACACTTGCCTTTTTTTCCCTCTCTTTAAAAAGCTTCAGCTTTTCATTCTGCCCATGTCTTGCTCTGTTGCAGGATCCTCTTTTCTTCTGCCCATCTCCACTTCTCTATTCGTACTTTATGTTCTTATCTGCTGTATTCCCTGATGAACTTGGGAAATTTCCCTCATCATGGCATGGACATGAGCTCTTCCTGATGCCTCTGCTTGTAGGGTTGTGAGGCTGAAGCCCCTTCATCCCAATGCCCTCTGTATCCTGCCCCAATTGCCACTGTAGGCAGAGAAGTCATTGAACTGTAAATAGATTCGAAAATAGAAATCAAAAACCCCGAACCCTCCTGCTTCTTGGAGGCAAGAAAAAAATTAACAAGTAAATGTACTGCATTTATTTTGGTTAATCACAAAAGATGCTTTTTTAGTGGCTTTTAGGTTTAGGGTAAGGATTAATATCTGATAAACAAGTGAGGGGGCTTTTATTTGGGGGCATTTAAGGCTCTTTTTTTTTCAAATTTTATTTCAGTTTTTTTTTCCAATTTTTTTCAACTTTTTCAAATTTTTATTTTATTCCTAAATTTTATTTTTTATTTCTTGCATTAGTGTGCTGTTATGTATAGTTTACCTTATGTGTACTAGGTTCCTCCTGTGAATTCTGTGACACCCCTTTGCCTTTCCTTCTCTCCAGGCCCTTGTGAAACACGTCCAGTCCAAAGGATACCCCAACGAACGCTTTGAACTGCTCACCAACTTCCCTCGGAGGAAACTCTCCCACCTGGACTATGAGATCACGTTACAGGAGGCAGGCCTGTGTCCTCAAGAGACTGTCTTTGTGCAGGAAAGGAATTAGCACTGTGGCCTGAGTTCTCCCAGCCTTCCTCCCCTCTCCCCTTTGCCTGGGACACCGACTCGTTAAATATGCAGTTAAGGGTCATAGGATTGCAGTGCCGGAATCAGACAGGCAGCTGACTGGCCCTTCCCTCTCTTCCTCTCTCTTCCTCCCTTCTCCTCTCTCTCTTCCTCCCTTCTCCTGCTCTAGTGACCAAATGAGAGTGCTCAGAGTTTTATTTTCTTCCTCAGCTGCAGAGAGTGTTGGGAAGAACATCTTCCCTCTGCTTTCCTGGGGTAAAGTAAAACGGTGATCGGTGTGTCCAGCGTGCTGGAGCTTGGAGTGGCCATAATACACAAACCCTTCTCGCTGCTAATTCTTAAATCTGTTTTGTTTAATTTATTTTTGAAAAGAGTGTGTGATAAGGCACTGAGTCATCTCTCTAAGGAGAGAGTGTAATCTTCAGGACAGTCTTTCCTTTGTTTGGATTCCCTACATGAAAGGTGTCCATTAACCTTCCAGCCTTCTCAAGGCTTCACTGACCCAACACTCTGGTTTTGGGAAGGGGTTGTGTTCAGCTGTGGTAAAATACTCTGCCCCCATCTAATTTTAAGGCTTCCAGGTTGACTTCATGTTTTCCTCCTGCTTTAAACTGCCAGTGGACGTAGCAAAAACACCAACCAATCCCCCCAAAAAAGCCAGCTGTGCTCTATTTGGGATTGACTGCTTGGCCCAGAGGGAAAGCTGTGTGTCCGCTGCTGGAGCAGAACCGACTCCTTCGTGGGAGTGGGTGGGTTTTCCACGTTCTCTTCCCAACATCCTCAAAGTGTCTCCTTACTTGCTCTCAGGATTTTGCAAATGATGACAGAAGGTGATACTGTGGAGATCTTGGACTCTGAAAACACCTCCCACAGACCTGACAGTTAGTTGGCTTTTTTTCCTTGGCACAGCATCTTGGTTGGTTTTCCCAGGAGTGACTGGCACGAGTTAATGCTTCAGAAAAAGCTTTCCAGCCTGATGGCTTTGAACTCCCTGGGATGATTTTTTAGTCTGTTGCCATGTTCATCTGCTGTCATTTACCTCTGAGGCTGAGGGGCTGCATGGGAAAGCTGCTCCCTTCTTTAGGCTTTCCTTTCAGCTCTGGAAGGTGGCTCCAGAAGTCAGTGCCCTGTTTTTCCTCCAGTGTCCTCTGGAGACGTGGAGCTGTTGATCAGTTGGTGTTTCAGCAGGTGTTACAGCAGGACAGGAGTTAACCAGCACAGCTATCAAGGGTGGTTGGTGACATTTGTATATTTACAACTAAAAACTCGGTTTGACACGCTCTTCAGTGAGGAGAAAGGCAGCTGAGACCTGCCATAACTGCTGAGTTTTTCTGCCACTCTCAGATGATTGTACATGTTAAAGACTTCAGAAGTCAGAAATTTACCGTGTTCAAACTTTTCTGGATATTTTGCCTTTAGTTTCATACTAACCTGGATACTTAGGAGCCTTTAAATGTGAGGGATCACAGAAAATGTCTTGCGTTCCCCAGGAGAATTTGAGCTCACAACTGTCTTCTGCTCCTAATTGGGTTTGACATGTAATCATGCAATTGTGTAAATTGATTTCCCTTCTACACAAACACTGGCTGCATTCTACTGCAGGATGTAGTGTCAGGAAAGCAAAATCTGACCCCAGTTTCCTGATCAGTGTCACCAGATGTCATTTTGGTTTGTAAAGACACCCTGGCATGGAAGCAGCTGCCAGCAGGGGACAGTGAGGTGCCAGGGCAGCAGAGGAGAGGGGGGTTGTGTTTGGCCTGTGAAGCAGCAGTGGCACCTTTGGACTGAAGGATCCTTTGGTTTCTGGGATGTTGACATTCACAGCTTATGTTTCTATGTAGATCTAGTGCTTCCCGAAGCAGCTTCAGCTGCTTAGTTGGAATAACTCACTGTTTGCTGCTCCTCCATGGTCAGCCCCAGGCAGGTGGAGGCAGAACCCAACACGTGTAGAGTGACAGCCCCTCGTGTCCCTTGGGCAGTGGGAGCACAGGGACCTTCCCTCCTCTCCTGCCTGTGCACCCTTGGTGGTTCCAGGGTCCTCTCCACGTTGTGGCTGCTTGGTTGTGTTGGCTGGTGGAAGCCCCGCTCAGTTGGGACAGGCCTGGCTTTGTATCCCCTCTGGGAATGTTGTTCCACTGCAGCTTTCCTGCAGTTGGGTGTGCAGAATTGACTCTGCCCTCTCGCTCCCAGGTCTGGTTTATGGGCAGTTTCTCTTCCCCAGCCCCTCCCTGGCTGTACTCGTGTACCCACGGGGCTGTGAGCTCTGTGAGGACACAGGAGTTGCTCTAGCAGGGAAAGAAGAAATGAAGATTTACACTGAAAGTAAATTCTCCCATCTTTTGGTTTCTAGCAGTTTGTTCTGTTCCAAGAAATCACGATCATGGCTTTTTTGTTGTTTTTGTTGGTTTCTGTGGCACAATGTGTTTTTCCTATCAGTTTTCTTTTGCTTTGCTTCGAGAGCAAGAGACAGAGAAAAGAGTGTTTAGGGAATGTGTGTTCCCTACACGTGGCTCTTCTCTCCCTTCATTCCTCTCCCCTCTCTCCCTTCTTCCCAACCCAAATAACACCCAGTGCTGTGGCACACGTGTCAGTCAGCTGTGCTGTGGGGGCTGAAAGCTGTTAAGAAACAGCAGCAGCAGCCAGGGTACAACCCCTTCAGATCTTCATCCCTGTTGAAGCCCTTGGGACGATGTGTTTTGCTGTCCTGAGGAATGGGGGTGAAAACATGAACCCAATTGTGGCTGGGACAGCAGCGAAGACGAGGGCTGGTCGGGCACTGTTTGAAGGGCCTTTGCCACAGTCACTTCTGGATGTGAAATCTGCAGCTCAAACTGCCTTTGGCAGGTGGGTAAAAAAATGCCTTAGGTCTGGTTTGGAAATAAGGTGTTGACATACAAGGACAAAGGAAACAAATCCTTTAATGGCTGTGGTTTGTGGCTTCCGGTGGGTGTTGCTTGGTCAGAATTTTTATGTGGTGGTGCAAGGGCTGGGTCTGCAGGAGCAGCAGTGCATGTAGGCAGTGGAGGCTTTTCTGGGCAGAGGACTCATCGTGGATATTTCCTCTGCCTACACTCTTTGTCCCACAAGGCTTCATTTTGGTATTTGATGTCCAGTAGTCCCAGTCAAGGCCTGGATTCACAAACAAAGGTGAAATGAGCACTGGCTTTCCCTGCCAGGTGCTGCTGACACATTTAGTTCCCACTTGTGATCCTTCAGAGGCCCACAGAAGGATTTTGGGTCTTCCTGATGCCCCATGCTCTTAAGTCAAGCTAATTGACCAGCTTCAACCTCACAGCATGATGTAAAAAGGGCAGGTAAAGGCTGTGCCAAACATTTCAGGTCATACTTGGGTTATTTTCGTAAGGCTTTGAATTAAGGTCTGTGATTTTTACAGTTTCTGACATTGAAATGTGTTGCTTTTCCTGATAAATTAGCTCCTTTAACGCCACCAATATTAAAGGAATGTCCAGTATGTGCACGTAGCCTTGGAAGGTGTACTGGACTATAAAAGGCATCCTAAGGTACTGTTGTTCCTAAGGAGGTTTAAACAGGAATTTTCCATTGGCTCTTCCCAGAGCTCCCTGACCTTTTGCCTCTCTGTTATGGGGAGGTGACACCTCTGCTCTGTCCACCTTGTGTTCCTCAGCGTCCACGTCCTTCAGAGCCGTGTTTTGTGAAGATTACCAGATTTGTTCACTCACCTGCACCAGCTTCTGCAGCTTCCCCTTCTGCCAGTGCTGTGGTTTGTACCCTTGCAGAAACTGGGTTTAGTTCAGGTTTTAATAACTCCACCTCTCTGCTGAAGGGTCTCGAATTCCTGTTCCTCCTGGAGCACTGAGCTTGTGTGTGGAGACTCGAGCAACAAGGGCTAAACTAAAACCAATTTTCTTTTGGAGGCAAAGCATCACTTAGGCTGTGTTTTGTCAGGTACCAAACACTGCAGAGATGCAGAAACGTGGTGTTTGTGGTTATTTATCTAAACCACATAAAAACAGCTTACGAACGTAGAGACCTGTGTGGGAATGTCGGTGCAAGTGGAAAGATCTGTGTCATTTCAGGAACTTGTCACTTAATTTTTATTCCTTTTTGATTTGTATTAAATGTCACTGCCTTCTTCTGGTTTAATCCCTTTTTGATCAAGCTGATAAAACAGGTGGTCTTGTATTCCAAGAAGAGGAGTGACAGAGATGTGCTTTAGGTGGGGGAAGTGCAAAGTTGCTGTCCCATAAGAACTGGCTGTGCCTTGTCTGGCTGTTCTAATAGATTCAGATCCAGATCCAACCTCTGCTCTCCTTCACCCTTTTCTATTTATTTATTTTAACAAATTATGTTCTGTAAACCGAACAGCTCCTGTTTCAAAGACAAAGCAAACTGACATTGAACCCTGTGTTGGCCGTCCGGGTTGTTGGAAGTGCCCACAGGCGTGTTTGGATTTGGAGCTGGGGAGGTTAATGGATGCTCCTTCTGTGATGACTTTTGCTCCTGTCTCCTCTTGTCCATGAGATGCTTGGTGTCTGTCCACCCCCAATAAATAGAGCCATATGTACATACACACACGTGTTCTTAATTGGAGACCGTGGCACTCAACACCAGTGCCTCAGCCTGCCTCGGGATCATCCGGTGTTTTCCATGGGTACCTTGTGAGTGATGGCAGAAATCCGGGACTTGGTCACTGGCTTTAGTTGCTGTGAGTGTCTGCAGCACAGAGAGAAGTCGTCGTGTAACTTGCTTGTGAAACGGTGCTGAGATTTGAGGCATGGAAGGATCCAGGAACTGTCTGCAGAGCAGGGGACGAGGTGCTATTTTATAGACCAGATTTATATGAAGAACCTCTGGGTAAGACTCAGAGACACCACAGTCTAGGACAGCTGATTTTTTTTAAGATGAGGCTGTTTCCTCGAACTGGGGAACATTGAGTTTCAAGTCACAACTTCTTACGACGGTCACTTTCTTCTTCAGTGATGTCAACTTCACATGGGAGGAGGGAGAGGATTCGTTTGGAAGATTTCAGCTCACTGTGCTGGGAGGGACCAAACTCAAGGAAACCTCTGATCTATATACACAACTGCTGCATTTTTTATAAATATATGTAAATGTCCTATTGTAATATTTGATCCTGGAAATAAAACAAAACTGTTTTCAGTAGCTTTCTTCAGGTCTTGGTTTTTTGGGCTTGGGGTTTATTTGTTGGTTTAGTTCTAATTAAGGTCTGTCCCTGTGTTACATGGGGAGTTCCAGAGTTTTTCCTGAAGGATACTGGGGTAGAAGGATAAGGAACTGTTGACAACAGTGCACTGCTTGCTGAGCCCAAGAAAACTTCAGCCCATTCTAGAGGGTACAAAATCTTGAAGTGAGACAAGATAAGAAAAACACCCTTATGAAAATGAATAAAAAGAGGCAGGGATAAGATTTTTCCATCCTTACAATTGGAAGAGCAGAGAAAATGGGGCTTTCTGTTCTGACCTGTCAGTGTCTTTGTGGTGCAGGTGTTGTCAAGGCAGAGCCCCTGCTTTCTGCAACTGTTGTGGGGCTTCTTGGGATGTTCTTGTTGTGGCCTCACGTGAAATGTCAATGAGCAGAGGCCCTTCTGGACAAGGACTTGGTAGGTACAGTGGGGTAACAATAATTAAGAAACTAATTTTGGGTCATCCTCGTGTTTCTGGCTGTAGGTAGGTCTCCACTGAAACAGTGACCTCAGCAACTGCCTTGGTCTTGCCTGGTTTGAAGCTGGAAAACACCCTGATCTCTCCATGCAGCTTAGGAAAATATTTCCCATTCCTGCTGAATCAGAAATCTTTTTTCATTTGCAGGTCAAAGGAACTACAGGGACACCTCAAACTCAAGAGTTTAATTTACTTTTCTTTTCTGCAGACTTCTTCCAATTTTTAACTGGGTTGGTTTATCTGAAGTATTAATTCAGGTGACATTTGCAAGGGCACTAAAGCAAATCCTGTCCAGCAGCATTGTGTTGGTATTTCTTCAGTCAGTTCTAGCCCCTGCAGGGCTTGTCCAAGGGGATTTTGGAGGAGTCTTGGCTGACTTGTGGCAGAAATAGATTTGCAGATTCCACAGAGAGGAGCAGGAGAGACCACTGGGTTGTGCTGAGCATCCTCTTGGCCAGGACCGCAGTGGAGGCTGGTTTGGCACAGAAAGGTTTCATCTCAACGCTTCCAACTGCTCAGCCTCTGGTTCTCCTTGAAGCCAAACCGCTCTTGAAACCCAACCTGTGCAATTTCCCCAGCCCCAAAGGAGTTTGGGGAAGAGAAGGGGAGCAGGGAAGCAAAGAAGCTGTGAGAAGGAGTCAGAGAAGGACCTTGCTGAGCTGGAATTGCTTTCCATGGGACCAGGTCTGGCTGTGCCTGGCAGCAAGTTCCTTGCCCATAATTGCTGTGCTGGTGCTTTCACAATTAAGCTCTCGTGTGAGAAAGGCAGGGGCACAGCCCCTCGTGTGCTGGGCTAAAATTAACCTTTTATGATGATGATGATGATGATGATGATTACTCTTATGGGTACAAGGGGAAGAAGATCAGCAATCCCAGATTGCCCCTGAAGCCTCCCCGGCACTGGGTGGCCTGAAGTTTCCTGTGGGAGATGATGGAGTGGATCATGTGTGGGGCAACGTGGGAAGCTCAGATCGCCGTGACGTAGGAGAGGCACAAGATGAGGTTGCAACACATTTTCTTCCAGGAGTGAAGGAACACTTCCCCTCTTTCTAAGTAAGAAAAGAGAGGAAGGAGAAATTGGATTATTCTCGGCACTCTGCTGTCCTACATGTTTTGCCTTTGCTGTTGTCTGCATTTTAGAGACCAATTTGTCTTATTTAGGAATAAAAGGGGAATTTACGTGCTGCTGCAGACTCTGATTTTTCCTTTCAGAGGAGCTGTCGGGTAATCTGCTCCTCTCATCTTGTTTTTCCTAGAGGAACAGAGTGGCTTAATGTGACCCAGCCTCACCCATTCATCTTTTCCCAAGTGACTCTTGAGGGCTCCAACTCCACCTTCTGTTTCTTCCTGTCTTGGAGCAGGATTTATATCCTCGACTCTCTGATTCAGAAGCAGGAATAGCCACTTTGAAACACATCAGCAAATGGGTGTGGGTCACCCTGGGTAGAGCAGTTGGGGTATGGACCGAAGGCAGCACTCCAGGTGCTTTTTTTTACTTGCAGCATCAGAGCAAGACTTTCTCGGGACACTGACACAGCTTTGCAGCCCTGGTGGATTGGGAAGCCCCTGTCCCAAGCAGCTGATGTGCCTCAGGTCCTCGTGAACACACAGGGAACAGGAACCGTCTCAAAACTCTTCTTGGAGAAGATTCTTCCTTCTTCTCTTTGCTCATGCCACCTGCAAACTCCTCTGCCAACCAAACTGCCCCATTTTTGCCATTTTTGTGGTGCTGCAGTTCCTCAGTCTTCTGTTCTTGGACACAGAGATCATCCACATTCTCCCAATCCTGTTCCTGTACTGTCAGACCTTCCCTGTGGGAATAGCAGAGGAGTTTCCCTGTTGCACAGTAACTGCCAGCCGTGGGCACTCTGGGTGGGAAAAGGTGGTGTCTGAGGACTTGGAATAATTCAGATGGCCAGAAACCTTTCAATCTTATCACCAAGGCATGAGATGTACTCAGCACCTGAGGAAAAGCTGGGCCTCCTGTGAGGAAGAAAAAGGTGGGAGTTAGGAACCAGCTGAGACACGAGAATGTTTATTTAGAAGCTTTTATTAAAATATCAGTGAAAGTGGGGAGTGTTCTCTCAACAGTCACCACAGGTCATTCCAGGAGCAACGGCGTTTGCTTCTCAGGCAGCGGTCGAGGCACTCCATGCAAATGTGGTTGGAGCCTTAAAATGTGAAGT